TTCTCAAACTTTAACGTGCATATGAATTGCCTGGGGATCTTGTTAAAATGCAAATTCTGGTTTGATCCCGGCTGGGGCAGAAGGTTCTGCATTTGTAACACGTCCCCAGGAGACAGTGCAACTGGTACTTCCGGACCACGGTTGGAATAGTGTCCAAACTCGGAAACTCCACTAGAGGGCGCCCTTCCTGTTTCCATCCATCCTTGGGCTCCTTCGCTATACTGTGAGGTTGGGCACAGAGTCGGACTCTTCCCAGCCTGGACTTCCCTTCCCCAGTGTGACCCTCTCCAGCTGCAGGACCCCTGGCTGCATTCCAGAGCATCCCTACTGAGGATCAGGGCCTTGGCAGCAATGCCTGCTTGCTTTCAAGATCCTCTCCTCGAATATGGAGGCCCATAGGCCCAGAGGGACCTGGATACATCGTAGGGTTGCTCTGCTTACAGGGATCTCTACTGTAAATGCAGCTTCCTCAGTGGCAGAGGCCTTCCCTGATTCGTCTTTTGTTTTGCACGACATCCCACACAAAGCAGGCTGCAGTGGGCACGGAAACCAAACACATGACAACTCGCACTGTCCTGTGTAAAGTGGATCCCATTCACCCACAAGAGGGCCTGATTGCTAGCGATGGCCATCAAAGCAATGAGAGTGTGATGCTCCTCTCGCCCGCTCCGGCCCTCCTCCACAGGCAGTATTCTAGTCCGTTTCCGGGACAGAGCAGTGTTCTCACCCAGTGCCCTTCTCCATGCTATTGCCTCTGCCTTACTCTCCCATCTCACCTGGTTTTCATTCTTCACATAATCCCAGTCAGCCTGCGAGGCCCAAGCCAAATGCTTGCTTCTCAGGGAACCAGCTGAGACCCTGGGACCTGAGGACTCTCGGTGACCTCCTCTGTCCAATGGGGCAGCACTCTAATCCAGCCATTGCTCACTGACAAAAAATGATCTGTGGCACTTTTCTCCCCTCTCCACTGAGCCATGAGCTCCTGCCTGGAACAGGTTGAGTTCTATTTATATTTGCAGCCTGCTACCAAAACATACTAGGTGCTCGATAAGTATTTGTTGAAGCAACTATGAAAAATGAGTCTCCAGATAGCATCAAGTAGAGAATAGTTCCCCAAAGTAATTGTCAACCCAAGTCAAGCCCTCGAGTTTCCTTGAATGGGTGAATGTCTCTCGGAAAGGCTTGAAGTTTCTTCCATCCACATCACACTTGGTCCCGAGTCATGTAAATAGATGAGCTTGTGGAACTGTTGTTGAACATTGATGAAAAGAGCCTCTGAGCATCTGAAGGGAAAAATGACCCATAAAGGGGATATTAGGTTAGTTCTAAGCCCGATCCTCCAGGTACATCCCGTGAATTTGAAGATATCTCCTGTCTTTTGCATCAGTAGGTGGGTAGAACAGATGTAAGGCATGCTGTTGTGGGATAGGAGCAACCATGCAGGTCTACACAGGGTGTAGTAGGGTTAATGAGAGGCAACATAGCATGATGGGCCCTGGAGCTGGACTCCCTGTGTCACTGGCTCCTGTGTGATTATTTTCTGTGTAATCTTGGGCATGTTTATTTAACCTCCTGGTGCCTTGGTTACTCCATCCATCAAACAGGGGTGTTAATAATAGCACCTACCCAAAAGGATTAGTATGAGGATTAAGCAAATTAATTTCTATAGAGCACTCAGCCCAAAGTGACTTGTAATTTTCAGTGGTCATTTTGCCATTGTAATTATTAGACACCCTTTGTGTATTCAGAAAAGGCCACCTAGATGAGTGACATTGAGCTAAGATCTGAAACACAAGTGGATACCGCAGTGTGTGTGTGTGTGTGTGTGTGTGTGTGTGTGATTCCAGACAAAGATGATGACATGTACGATGGAAGGGGTTGTGATCCAGAAGGGATTTGCAACCCTGGCTGCACATTAAGACCACCTGGGAAACATTTTAACAATTCTAGTGTCTGGGCTATAAGCTCAGAGATTCTGAGATGGACCAAAACATCTGTAGTTTTATGGTCTCCCGATGATTCTAACGTGCAGCCAGGATTGAGGAACACTGTGAAAGAACATGGCTAGTTCAGGGAATGTGAAGCAGACTTTTCTGATCCGATGCTTGCTTATCTTGAAGACACAATGCAGGTGTCACCTCCTCCAGAAAGCCTTCCATGACTCTTCTAGAGCATTCAGAATATATCTCTGTCACAGTATTTTGTAGGTATAACTGTCTAAATAAATAGCTATAACTGAATCATATGTTTCTTGCAGGACTGGATGTATTTATCTTCGGCTCCCCAGAGCTCAGCACACCCCTAGCACATAATAGACACTCAGTAAACAGAGCAAGGGGGCAAGGGGGTGAGAAAATGAGTCACTGAATGAAGGAGTGTGGTTAGAGCCCAGCTGAAAAGCATGGGAGGAGTGGCAAGGGTGAGTGGCTGTGCACTTTATCTGGCAGCTCCACCTGAAATGGCATTGAGTGGGTCCACACTGCCTCCTTGTTAGCATGAAGGGCCTCTCCTTGGTCTCATTGGAGAAACTCCTCCACGCCCATCATCTGTAATTGCACAGGCCCAGGCATCTGTGAGAGTAGGAGAGTCCTCTTGCGGCTTAACTAGAAGCTTCCTTAACTTTATCTGGAGCCATTTCTGTAATCAACCAGGGGAAAAAATAATTCTCCCCAAAACACATTTAATGAATAGCTTTTCTTTTTCTCCCTTTCACTCTGGTGGCTGAGCTCAGAATTCATGCTGTGTGTGCTGATACTGCTGTAGTGGAAGGAGGAGAGCTGTGGGTGACAGAATGAGAAACCCAGTCAGGGAAGTCCACTTATTGAGGAATGGGCTGCTTCTTGTTGGTGCCAAGTCACTGATTTATTCAATGAGGAGTTATTGAATTCCCACCATCCATGAGCCACTGTGTAGGTACTGGGAATACCAAGAAGGCTAAAGCTCTAAATGCGGGCAGGAGAGATGTAGGAAGTGAAACAAGCAACGTATGGTTAGTGGTGCCATGAGAGTGGCCTGTGCAAGATCAAGGAGACTTCAAAGAGAGGGAGGTTCATCTTACATGTGCATAAGCTCGTAGAGGGAGCACAGGAGAAATTTCAAAAGAGTCATCAGAAACAAAGTGGACTCCACTGACTCCTTCAACAGTTACCTCGTGAAGAACGGACAAGCCCAAAGTGGTGATGAGAGGGAGAAAGGAGATTGGAAGATGAGAGGAGAAGGCAGTCCAAGGAGAATGTGCAGCCTGATCAAGGGCCTGGTGCTTGGAAATAGCTGAGTGTGTTCAGGCCATTGTGAGAATGTCAGTGTGGCTGGGGCGATAGGCAAGCACTGGGCCGGAAGAGAAGGTAGCCAGGGGGTAAGGCAGAGAATGTTGTCGGGGCCAAAATGGTGCCAAGTGCTGGTGCAGGAGCTTGGCACTCATTAGTGAGCGTAACTGGTTGGAGAATCTAAAGACGAGCCACTACTGGTCCATTTGAAAGCCTCCTTCCAGCCTGGAGATTTTCCAGTGGCTGCCCACATCCCCCACTCTCACCAACCCAAGCCTTATGTTTTTGCCTCTTAACACTTTTGGCCATGGATTATGGGACTGAACCAAGAGTGGGCATTCCCTGTTTGATCCCTGCCTCCCAATAGAGCCAGTGCTATGAGTAATGTTTCCATCAGAAGGAAGTAAGGGTCGGTCTCTCATTTTGGAGTTTTGTAGCTTGTGTAGTCATCAAAGACTGATCTATCCTCTTGGAAGAAGCAGCTCCTAGATGCTACAGTTGAATGATGCCCTGTATCTGGAAGCTTGTCATTAATTATAAAGTAACAATATCCAACAATTAAAGAACCTTACTGGGTGCCAAGTTCTTCCTCTCCTCTTTTTCTTACTCTTAGATGCCTCACTCCACCCAACATGCCTTCATCTAGCATCAGCCTTTAGTCCAAGAATAGCAAAAGCAACCTCCATACGTTACATCCAATAAACAGTTATTTGCTTTGCATACTCATTTTACAGATGAAGAAACTAAGGCACAGGGCAAAGAAGGGGGCAGTGATGGGTTTAAAATGGCTGTGGTTATGTGTCCCTGCTGCGTCTTTCCTGACAGAGATCCCCATCACTCTTAATTGTTAACCCACCTTCCTATCTCCTCCACTGAATCAGGCTCCCTGAAGGCAGAGACTCTCTCTTATTTATCTTTGTGTCTCCATTTATTCTAAGCATGTGCCTGGGTCATGGAAGATGCTCACTGCACGCCTGTTGAATGAATGACAAAGCCTAGAATTCAGCGTCAGGCCACAACTGGCTGCCTACCTCTTCTCAGAGACTTGATCTCTCTTCTTACCTCTCCAGAATTGAAGTTATCCCTCAAACAGATGGCTTTCCTTAGTTCTAAACTGCAACAATCCAAAGTTTCCCCCAAAGGCTCAGGCCCTCTTTAGACTGGCTTCTTCAAGTTTCAGTCAAGGTGAACTGGTATCCTCCTTAAGAGATGTGGAGTGACGAGAGGAGATGGTGGTGGGGCTATTTAGCACGCACCATGTGGAAATCACCTGACTAGTTAGATGCTCTGAGGTTATAAAGGCTGTATGGTTTCTCGGGAGGTGTTTTTACAATACTCACTCTATAAAGGCAGTGTGGTGCTGTGGCTTTGTGGTTAGAAAGCCCTACAGTTTAACCCCAGCTCTGTGTGACCTTGGGCACACTATTTAATCCCTCTGACTCTCGTTTTATTTTTCTGTAAAATGATGGTTACGGTAAGTCTACCAAAGCATAACTATAGGAATTAAGAACGTATAAAACACCTAGTGTTTGACCTGCCAACTAGTAGATATTAATGAGTGGGAGCTATAATGATTTCAGAGTACTGAGTTCAGTATGTAATGGGACAGAGAGTAGAGTCCAAAGAAAGGAGAGAGATTCATTAAAAACAGAGATGTCTATAAAGACTTCTGGGAGAAGAAGCAGAAGCTTCATGGAGTAGAGCTCCTTCACTACCACCTTCTTCCCTCTCCAGATGTTAAACAATCCGGAGAAAATAGCTGAGCAGATAAGTAAGGATCTCGCCTGGCTCGCCTCCCACCTGATGGCTCTGTGGACCCAATTTCTGGACACGGTGACTCTACACTCCCAAGTGACCACTTATCTCACCCAGGAACATCACACCTTGAGGGTAGGTTGTCAAATGGTATAATTTCTCCAATCGCATGCCAGTGATCTCTCAAGGAAGCTTCACAACAGTCAGTTCATTGGGCAGAATAAGAATTGGGATTGACTTCTGTAGACTGGAATGCTGGCCGTGGCTCCACCATGAACTTGCAGTGGGACTTGATGAACTTACTTAGCCTCTTATACCTTGCACTGTCACTCATAAGATACCTGCCTGGGCTACCAGATAATAGCAGAGCCTATCCCAAGGGATATTACAAGTGCTTTGAAAGTGTTTTGAGAAAGTGTTTTCAAATGTAAGACATTGTTTTTAGTGTATTTCTTTGCCACCAGCTTGGATGCATATGGGCAGGCACTAATGCATAAGGGAAGTTGTTGGTCTTCTCATTTCCAGCAAGAGGACCAAATATCTGAGTCTGCAAAATGCTTAGGGGACACGCTTATGTGACTGGCTTTGCAAATTCTGTTTCGCGTGCATTTATTTATGGTGTCTGTTTTCAAGTGTCTTATATTCTAGAGGAAGAAATAAGACCTAAATACAAAAATGACAGAAAGCAATACAAGAACAGAATTATAAAGATGTATTAAACAGTGTCCCTAAACCAGATTTGGGCTAAGAGATATAAATGAGAGAGGGCAGCTGTGGCAGAGTAGAGAGACTAGCGAGACTGTTGTTTCAGAACCTTTGGTGGTGGGCTTAGCCCTCCTCCTATTAGCCCCGTCCACTTACCTCCTTGAGCCTCAGTTTCCCTTTAAAAAATAGAGGCAATACCCACCAATGAGTTAAACTGTTTACATTGTTTTATTCCTCAGGTCCGAAGGTTTTCCGAGGCCTTCTTTTATATGGAGCACGAAAAACTCGCAGTCCTGACTTTTCAGGAAAATCTGTAAGTAACCAAGTGCATGCCCACGTCACACACTAAAAGTGCCACCCAAGGCATTGTTGTTCAGTTCCTTCTTCCCTTCATCTCCGGCTGTGAAGGCGGGAAGTCTGCCCACCTCTGCACATTCAGGCTGCATTTTCTCTGCAGGCAGAAGAGTCAGACAAATTGCAGAGGCAGGAGCTGGCAGGTGGCAGAGAAGGTCAACAGCCAAAGTTTTCCTTTGTTGAGTGTCATTATGGTTCTGTAGACAGAATCAAGACTTCCTAGGTCCCTGAAGACATCTGTGCTGAGTCCTCCTTGCAAAATGAATTAGAAGCAGGTGGTGTGGCAACAAGTTCTGTCGGGGAAAAAAAAAAAAACAACAACAGAATTTGCCTGAGACTTTAGTAGCTGCAAAATGCATTGAGCATAAGAATTAAGCCTGAACTACCTAATTAGGAGCACTGATGAATTTCTAAGTTTGCTTTCCTCCAGAAAAAATTAAAACATACTCAAAAAGTCAGAGGGTGACAAAAGATGAGGTCATTCTCTCTCGTAGATGTCACTGGTGAGAAGGAGCAGGGCTTCCTCCAAGATGTTTTGGCCTTCGCTAAAAACCAAGGGTTTCTTTTTGTTTCTGAATGATATGTTCACCTCAGATAACAAATGTGGATGGAATAATGTTTGAGATGCCACAGCCAATCTGGCAAGAGAAACACTTGAGATTCATCCATCACTCAAGACAGACCTGAAGATCTTTTCACCCTCATCTTTATAATCTTATTTTTTCCCCACACTTCATTCTGTTTGGAAAGTACAATGATATTTAAAGTTTGCCTCATGGATTCTGAAAGTGAGAGGGGCACCAAGGAAAACACGTCTATGTGTTAAAATACCTTGTCTAGAAATATCTAAAGTCTGTCAGTCACTCATTTATTCATTCATTCAGTCCAGCCCCCAGCTAGAACTGGCTGAATATATTTTCTAAAGCTAAAATCAGAAGAGTTAGTCTAACAAATATAAACATAATTTTGAGGGCCACTGAGCAAAATACTGCAAATCAGGACTACTGCAGGAAATCTGCTTCCTGAGTCATCACGACAATGGTAACCCTTAGATTGCCAGGCCCTGGTGTGTCCCCAAGGAGCGTGAGGACACACGGAGGTGACAGACACATAGGTAACCACTCTCCTGGGAGAGCTTTGTTGGAATGCCAACAACTTGTGCAAAGTACAGATGACAGAGCATTCGGCCCACCTGCGTATCTGGAGATCAGAGCTGGAGGGGGAGGTCATCCTGCTTACATATGAGGCAGATCCATCCTCCAAAATCAGGATGGACAAGTGGAAAGACCAAGTGGCCCAGGTGAAACTCATCTGTCAAGACCCATCTTGTTCAAGCTCCAACTGGATTGTGTTTCTCAAACAATAGGTCACAATCATTTAGTGGACCGTGAAATCGACTTAGTGGATTTGGAACAGTACTTTTTAAATGAAATAAGATAGGGTAGGATAGGATAGGACAGGAGAGGATATGATAGGACAAGATAGAATAGGTAGTAAGAGTAAGAAGTATTTCTGAAACTTTTGTTTCAGTGTGTGTGTTTCTGGGAGTGTGTGTGATTGTGCTGGGTTGCCATGTAAAATGAAGACTATTTCTTGCCATGGGTTGTAATATTTAAAAAGTGTTTCAAAATGATTTAGATGGCTAGTAGCAGGGGTGTATAGTTTGTCCCTCTTTTCTGTTTTACCGATGTCTAGCCAGTGCTTTTCACAGAGTAAGGAGGTGTTCAATAAAAGTTTGTTGAATGAATGAATGTGAGAATGTTGATGTGTATGAAGACCTATACTGATGATTTAATTTCCATAATGATGATAATTGAGATATCACTCTTTTATGTTTTCTGTAGTAATAATTGTAACATTGTCTAATTTTTAAAAAATCATTCATTCTACAAGACGCTGTGTATATAGGGGTGAGCACAGGAGGCACTTTACCTGCCTTCCTGGTGCTTAGTCTATTGGGATGACCCTGGTAAGAAACTGTGGTAAGTGCTCTACATGCATTGGCTCATTGAATGTTCGCGTTAACCCTGTGAGCTGCGACCTGTTATTATCCCACTTTACAGAAGAAGAAATGGGGGAAAACTGGGCTCAGAGTGGTTAAGTAACTTATCTTAGACCACACAGCCAAGAAGTGACACACACATGGATCTGTCAGAGTCCAGCTCCCACACTCCTAGCCTCCTTGTTATGGCTTTCTGTATAGTGTCGAAGCATTATCCTAAAGAATACACCAGAAAAAATAAAATGTAGATTTTTCAACCTCTAAAATAGAAGTATCTGTGTGCAACTGGGCTGTAAACCTGACATTGAAATAAATAGGTAATGAACCAGGACCTCTATGCTCTATACAGAAGATCTCTAGAACTTACTGATCTTACTTCATTGAAACTTTATTGATTAGCAACTCCTATACGCCCCAGCCCCAGCCCCTGGCAACCACCACACCACTCTTTCATTCTACGAACTTGACTATTTTAGATACTTCATACGAGTAGAATCATACGGTATTTGTCCTTCTGTGACTGGTTTATTTCATTTAGCATAATGTTCTCAAGGTTCATTCATGTTGTCACATATTGCAGAATTTCCTTCTTTTTTAAGGCTGAATAGTATTCCATGGTACCACATTTTCTTTATCCATTCTTCTGTCCAAGGGTGTTCGACTTGTTTCCCTATCTTGGCTATTGTGATTATGTATATGCATATATGTGCATATGTGCTGCTATGTACATGTGAGTGCAGATATCTCTTAAAGATCTTGATTTCAATTCTTTTGGATAGATGCCCAGAAATGGGATTGCTGGATCATATGGTATATCTATTTTTAATTTTTTGAGGACCTTTTATACTGTTTTCCACAGCAGCTGCACCATTTTGCATTCCCACCAACAGTGTACAAGCGTTCCAACTTCTCCACATCTTGCCAACACTCGTTGTTTTTTTTGTTTGTTTTAATAATAGCCATCCTAACAGGTGTGAGGTGCTATCTCGTTGTCTATGTGCCGTAGAATTTTTAGTCATTTTTTAACACGTGCTAGGCAATGTTTTAGGTACTTCGTCACATTCACAAAGTCCTTATGCTCAAGAAGCTACTTCCCAGTAGGAGATAACTCCCTGCACAAAGTAACTTAGACCCGACTCTCCAACACCTGTCCTGCTGTATTATAATTACTTTATTAACCACCTGAGTTGTTCATGACTCTATAAGCTCTTTAGGTCCAGAATTCTTTCCATCCTCTAGATATATCCCCTAGTATGTCTACACAGTCCTATGCACTTTGGTGTTCAATAAATATAGTTTTTTAATAAAATAAAAACTGGGCCAAAAGTTCCAGGTTCAGATGATGGCTAAGAAGTGCAGAATTGATTGCAACAAAATTCCGTTTAAGTACTCAGAGAAAGGTTCAAAAAATTATGAAGTTGCAGCAGCCTTCAGGGCTTTGAGGAAGGGAATAAATTGCTTATCTTTTTCTTTCATAGGTTAAAATCCAATTGAGAAATAAGAAATAAAATACACATTTTTTATATATATTCAATATACATATATAAAATACCATATGTGTGTATATGTTCATCTTCATCGTATTTGTTACTGAGAATGCTGAATTGGAGAAGTTGCTCAGGACTTGTGCAGAGTTCCACAGCTACAAAGCAATTCTAAGAGGTCAGATGACCTATATTGCTGGGAAGTGAGGGACAATCAGACAGACAGTAGCTACACATGTTCAGTTCTTCTCCCAAACTCGCCAACCAGATAAGGCCCTCCTCTACCCTTGTGATTGAGTTGTCATGAAGAAAAACGATGGAATGTTAATATTTTTCCTTCATGGGGGTAAATAAACGCTCTCCTTTTTGCAGGGACTTGAGGAGAAGGAAATAAACATTTTTTTTTTTAACCATCCAAGCCTTTGAGTTAGGAATACTGATTATTTCAAACTCTGGAATCACGTTCCTGCTGGTGGAAGGCTGTCTGGGTCATGGAGGAAGAATATGGGGCATTTGTGTATCCTACATGAAGTAATCAAAAAACGTAGTTTCTAAACTAGAGGAACTTATAACCTAATCAAGGATCCAGTGTCCACACAGTAACTTACTGTGAAGCAGTAAATTAGTTGGTTCTTCATTCAAATGCCACAAAATATGATTCAGACCCTAAGTGCTATAGGAGGCTAGAGAGCAAGGGTAAAGGATATGTAGATTTAAGTTTTTCCTCCTAAGTGCTAATTTAAGATTCCTCGCTACTTAGAAACTCAGCTCCTAGTCCACTGGAATGGTATTTATTACATTCCACTAAAATGGTGGGTGATAAATTCCCCTAGTCATATGATCCATGACCTCTAAACTCAGTACCCAGACCAGTTCCAAATCAAAACAGACTAAGGCTTTGGGGGCAGGGGAGGTGGCTGGGAAGACAGGGCAGGTGGATGGACAGACAGGTGATCCATTGTCAGAGTCCGTTGAATATTTCCTAAATGTTTTTTTGGGATTAGGGGGATGGGGCAACAATTTTAAAACATTTAAATCTTCTTTTGATGCTCACTGGTCTGCATGCTCCCCAGGATGCAGACCCACAGCCAGCTGTCTCTGGATATCCGGAATTCAGAGTACCTTACCACGATGCCCCCGCTGCCCGCAGAGTGCCTGGACATCGACGGTGACTGGAACACCCTGCCAGTTATCTTTGAGGACAGATATGTGGACTGCCCTATGACAGGTTTGTCTGCTGCATTTTGGAAAGACTCGAGAATGAGGCTTACCAGTGGGTTCCACTCAGGTGTCCTGTTTATGTCTCAACAGCTATGGGACCAAATTAATGAAGTAGTTTGTCAGTTTATAGAGGAGAAGCAAAAACTAGGGTTAAACTAGTTATTTCAAATGACTTAATTTCAGTGAACTGACGAATCAATGTAACAAAATGGCAATTATAGTAGGGACTCCCTTCCTGACTCCTCATGGGGTGGAATTGTAGCCAATGCCTTGGTGTTTTCACCTACAAAATGGGAACCAAATTCTCCCCCTTTCTTATCTCAAATGTGCAATTCAAATATAAAGTCATTTCTAGTTGAACTTTAATGGCATTCAGTTCAGATGCATAGGGAGTGCTTCCTTTACGCCATGAGCCAGGCAAGGTATTTGAGAAAGCGGGCTGCATCAATGTAGGGATTAGTGGATGAATGACTCATTTCAGGGAGAAAAGATAACATGTTTGTGGGTATCTGTGTGTGCGTATCCAGATTTCAGTCTGTTTTGCTGGTGTTGCACAGTCTGTTAATGAACTGATAGGTCAACTGCAGAGAGCCTAGTACAAACAGGCATTCAGGGAATGTTAATTCTCTGTCCCCTCTCACAGCCCTGCTCATGGAAACCCAACAGGCTATTACAGATGACAGAGCTGAAATAGCCCCGTGATCGCTTAAAGAATCAGAAAATGCCAGGCTCTAAGCTAGAGGTTTTATGTGTTTTATATTTTTAGTCAGATAAGAAAACCTTCAAAGCCCTATTTCACAGAGAGAAACTGAGGCACTAGGAGCGTAAGTTATGTATTAAAGATCATGCGGCTTATAAACGCCAGCGTTCAAAGCCATTCACTTCAGTGCCAAAGCCCGTGGTCTGCCTTGCCATCTCTTTGTGAGGCGTTTGAAGCCATGGTGCTTGGGGTGCTCATCATTTAAGTGATGGGCCATTTAAATTTCAGAGTTTCTGCAATCTGAGATCTGTAGGGTGTTTTAAAAGTCTAGACGACTTCCAAAGACAGTGCAAACTTGCAAACCAATAATGTTATTCAGTTCTCAGTATTACCCTGACATCTAGTGTCAACACTGTGCAGGACACCTAAAATGTGTACTAGCTCTAGAGATGGCAGCCAACCCAGCTGGTCAAAAAAAGCTTACAGCTTTGCATTGAGACTTTGTGTGTGTGTGTGTGTGTGTGTGTGTGTGTGTGTGTGTGTGTGCATAGGTATACATGTTCATCTTCATTATAGTTACATAATTTAGCTACAGAAAATTTGAAGAGTTAGAGAAGAAATTCACAATAAGTACACACCATCAGACCCTCTGATGTTATCATTATTAGGCTTTGTTGCAGATTGCCTTCTAGTCTTTTTTCCTATACATGTTAATAGATACCCTAGTTGATATAAATCGCAGTCCCTCAACTCATGTGTGCAATTATATTGCATATCTTTACTTTTTATAAATCAACTTCACATCAGCTGAGCCTCATCCATCCTGCAGCACTGGCTGGAAAGTCAACCTCAGTCTTTCTGTGCTTCCTTGCCAACTCTTCTCCACCGCATGTCATGTCAGTGCTCTAGTCTTAAAGAGCAGTGAAACATGGCTGAGAAGGTCTTTCTAGGGCCGTCTGCCCCGGCAGGTTCCTCTAAGCTGTGAGTGTCCATATCTACATAGTCTTTTAGGACCAGCATCTCTTTGAAGCTTCTGTAATGTGCTTGGGACATGGGACTCGGCTGAGTCTGCAACCGAAGCACTAATGATCCCATCTTCCTAGAAGACTCCAAAGCAATTGCTTTCAGAGGTCTGGCTGTCTCCCCAAGGCTTCTCTCTACAGACCTCTCATCTGATCCATCCCCATCCCCAAGACTACTTTTATGGAGTTATCTGTGTCTCCACTCAAAACCCAAAGCTTTTCTTGACCTTCTTGTTCTTTAACAGTGTACTTTGATGATTCTTTAATCCCAGAGCAAAAGCATTAGCAAATAAAGAACTATTTCCTTTTTCTTACAAGGGCTTGGTGGCCTTAATATTTATAACTTGCAAATGTGGTTATCAGATTTGCATTCCATTGTTTTAGTGTAGTGAAAAAAGGAAAATAAAAGTGTTTCATTTCCATACTAAAATAATACCATTTGTTCATGGTCTGCTACAGTCCCATGGCTATAATAGTTATTGTGTGCCAGGTATTTGTAAAGTCCATCTATATTATCTGTAATCCCTTCTCCCACTCACCCCTCACTCCCCTGGCCCAAGGCAATTGAGCAGTTTGCCTAAGGCCTTAACAGTTGGTTAGACTGCCTGGATTTGAATCTTTTTTCCAATAATTAGTAACTGTGTGAACCTGGGCAAAAAGGTTGTAATTTCTATTCCATAGGGCTACTGTGAGTGTGGATAGAACCGTGCATAGAACACTTCAGAGTCTCTGACACAAAGGAAGTTATGAATGCATGTCAACTAATGCCTTTAGTTAGTATCTGACTCTAAATCCACTCTGTTTGAGTTAGATCCTTTGCTACTCTCATTTTTCTGTAGCTGTAGTAGTGAAACTGAAATGTTTCTATTTTGACAATCCACTTCCTCACTGGGCTTCTTGCGTCCTGTCTGAACTATCTATGGTAAATCCGATAAATCTTTCAGATTTGTTTGAAGAATCCACCAATCTGCCTGTTACCTGCAGTATAAAGACCAAACCCCTCATTCATACAGAGCATTCAAGTTCTTCCATCTTGTGGGTTCTCTCTACCTGTCTAACCTCATGTGTCCTCCCCACTTCCTCTGCTCACTCCTGCTCCATCCACATGAGATCCAACTGATGGCTGACCAGACTGTGCACCTCAGATTTCTGGGCCTTTGCCCACACTGTTTCCCCTGTCTATATCTCCTCCTTTGAAGAAGCTCAATTCATATTCTTCAGGATACAGCCCACATTCTTTTGGTAGAAAAGCCAACTGTATTGTACCTGCATGTTTCCCAATATTTTGAAAATCCCTTAAGGACAGAAACTGGTTCACTATTATAACAGATCCCCATTTCCCCTCTCCCTAACCCATTTCCTAGTGTAGGGCTTTGCACATAGAATATGTCAACATATTATCTGTGGGACTAACCGACATTGAAGTTGTGGTTTTTTTCAAACCAATACAAACAGTTAATGAGAGTAATAGTCTTTGTTCTGCAGAATTTCTTTTCTATGCTTAATGCATTTTATGAACACAATTCATTGACTATGTGCCAGCCATGATGTTAGCCTTGGGGATATGGATATTCCAAAAACACAAACTCTTCTCACCAGTGGGAACAAGAAATGCACAAATGGATCATAGTATGGTGGTAGATGTGTGACACTATGTGTGTGAAGAGGAACCCTGGGAATTTACAACAGTGAAAGTCTAACTTGCTGTAGGGTGTATGAATGTTTCCCTGGAAGAAGGGAAGTTTTCTCAGTCTCTCAAGATGCAAAGAACATGTCCAGGTGAGGAAGAGATCCATCCTTTCAGAATCTTTGTTCTAATCCTTCGCTCAATCATAAATTTCACTCAAAAGTATGAGCCGATGGTGTCTTAGAGCCCCATGCAGTTTTCAAGTAAATGTCTCCATGGTTTACTTCATGATAACGTTCAATAGTGGTAATATTCATTTAACTCCTCTTAAAACCATATGGAGGATTCAAACTTTTTAAAGAAAATAAAAACCCAGTCTCTTTTTGTATTTGGTGTATATGGAAATTAAATAATATATCAGATGGCTTTCTCAAGAGAGCTGTGGTAGAGACAGACATGGGAGCACTTATTTTATTCCAATTATACATTATTAGAAAAGAGAGAAAGAGAGAGAGAGAAAGAAGAAGAAAGAGAAGAGGAAGAGAGGAGGAGGGGGAGAAGAATGGGAGAGAAGAGAAAAGAGAAGAGAGGAGTGACTGAGAGAGCAAATGAGAGAGATAATGGTTTCCCCTAAAGAAAAATAAGAAAAAGATCATACTTTGGATCCTGCCATCCTACTGTAAAGACTAAAGTGATCTGGGAGCCTCTTGAGGTCTGATGCCACATAGGACAATTACCTTGGTCACAGAGCTCAAGCTTGGCAGTGTTTCTCTGCAGAAAGCAGAAATCTGTCTTCCCCACATGTAACATTTCATGTTATAACTCTATTATGAGCTATGGCTGTGAGGCCTGCTGGTTACTATGAATCTGCCCATCCTAGAGTATAGGAAAGTGAACTCAAGTAGGAAAAAATCTTATTTAAGTTTTGTAATTGCCCAAGGTCTCACAGCTGGTCACTGTCAGTGTCAGGGTTGGAAACTAGGCCTTCCTGGCTTCAAAGTTCTCTTTCTACTCTATAAGTATATTACAAAAGATGGAGAAATGTTTTAATATTTACAAGTGGTATTTATTAAAAATGTTTTCACAAGTAAAAAGTGAATCAAGAATTATAACATTTGACAACTTTGCATTAGTGCAATGCAATTCTGACACATTACCCGGTGTTAAATCCAACCTCACAGGTTAAGGGCACAGTCTCTGATAAGACTGCCTTCACTTCACAAACCAGCCACAAGCTTGGGGGTTCCCAGGCCTCCCACTCTTATGACCACTAGCTACCAATTCAGGGATTCCCACAACCCCCTCAGGTTTGATAATTTTCTAGAATAATTCACAGAACTCAGGAAAGTGCTATACTTATGACTACAGTTTTATTATAAAGGATACAAATAAAGACAGCCAAAAGAAGAGACCTATAGAGCTAGGTCTGGAAGGCTCCAAAACATGAGGCTTCCGTGCCCCCAGGACTGGTCATCCCTGCAAATCAACGTGTATTGCTCACCAGGGAAGCTTGCTCCATCCTCAGTGTCTGGAGTTTTTATTGGAGTTTCATTATGTAGGCATGGTTGATTGAATCATTGGCTACATAATTCAACTCAATCCCCAGCCCACCACTCCTCCCCAGGGGTCGTACTGGTTATCACTTGGCTCAAAGCCCCAATCAACTAATCACATGGTTGGTCTTTCTGGAGTGGCCAACCCCCATCCTGAGTCATCTCCTTAGCATAAACTATCAAAGGACTCCCCATGGGTCACGTGGTTAGCACAAGCTATCAGAGCCAGCATGAATAACAAAGACATTCCTATCACTTGTGAAATTACACGAATTTAGAGGTTATCTCTCAGAAACCAGGAACAAAGTCCAGCCAAATTCTTTATTATACAATGAGACATTTGGATAATTTGTGAACATAGATTCTTAAACTATAATATATATATATTTTTCTTTTTGTAGGGCATAATTTGAGTGTTTACTCTAATTTTGATGTTCCAACAACAAGTCCCGCAATAATGAATTTAAAAGACAGAGAAGAGAGCCATCTTGTAAATAGAAAATCATCTTTTAGGGAAGACCTTATCTTGCCCACTATGAAACCAACCCAAATGGACTCTGATGAAGAGGTTATTAGGTGTCCAGAGCCAGACCAAAATGTAACCACACCAAATCATGTGGACGTGTGCTCTGAATCTCAGGTGTATCTGACAATTGGTGAATTCCAGAATAAAGCAGGTTTACCTGAAGATGAATGTTGGACTGACCAAAAGTCCGATGTTGGAATACATCCATTGGCTGATGAGGACCTGCCCAGAAGGAGTCCGGGCCCAGAGGATGGCCAGGCCCCAGCACTGACCTACATTGATGTGAAATCTAGCAATAAGAACCCCTGCAGAGCTGAACCCACGGTGGTCATTAGTGCTCAGCATGAGAGTGGGCACTCTAGAGATAACCTTGAATTAGACAGAACTGTGCTAAGCAAAAGAGTAGTAGGTGGGAGTCATCAAGATGCCATCTCTTCACAAAAAACAACACTCCATGAGTTAGGTATTCTAGGAAAGGGAGCAGACCAAGAGAGTAAGCTGGTGCTGCTAAATCTGAAGCTCATCCCCTCTGACCCCTGTGACCCACTAAGCTCTACTTTGCGGGATCCCTTGGACATTAGAGTTTCCCCAAAAGACCTTCATACAGAGGAGCAGGAGGAAGTGTCAGTGCTATCTGGGGTCATCAAGAGGTCTTCTTCCATCATCTCTGATTCAGGCATTGAGAGTGAGCCAAGCTCCGTTGCCTGGTCCGAGGCCCGAAGCAGGGCCCTGGAGTTACCCAGTGACCGGGAAGTCTTGCACCAGCTGGTTCGAAGACACGCCCTGCACAGGAACTCCTTAGAGGGTAGACACACAGAGAGCAATACGAGTTTGCCAAGCGGGATCCAGGCATCTCTCACTTCCATTAGCTCTTTGCCTTTTGAGGAGGAGGAGAGGGAGTTGGCACTCACCAAATTGACCAAGTCTGTATCTGCACCCCAAATCAGTAGCCCAGAGGAGTCTGCTGAAGATACGGGCACCATGCAGCAAGAGGGAGGTCTTGCTGAAACTTCAGCTGTGCACATCAAGAGCATGGATCCCCCAGGACACTGCAGTCAACTTAGTGGTGGCTCCAGAATCCAGGACGCTGAGGCAGACCATTCCCTTGTGGAGGTGGTTTCAGATGCTAACAACCAGCAGGGCCCTGGGTACATAGACATCCCCAAAGGTAAAGAGAGTCAGTTTGATCCTCAAGGACCCTGTTGCCTTGATGACAGGACTGAGAACCCTCCAAGTATTGAAACCAAAGGTCTTAATTTAAAAATACCACGTATCATAGCACTTGAAAACCCTAGGAGCAGATCTTTTCCTAGAGCACTAATGGAGACCCCTAAGGGCATGCCTAAAGACTTGAATGTGGGGAAAGGAGCTCTTTCCAACAGCAACATCTCAGATGTTGAGAGTATCGCCCACCATAAGGTGCCTGAATTGAGCTGTACATCAGATGCCGATGCCATCGACCTGGATTCAATAGGTGAGCAAAGCAGCTCACCTAGCATCATTGATGATACAGCATTTAGCAGAGGAGCTAATACCTTCTTGGATGTTGGACATGAAGCAGGCACTGTGTGTTCCACTGTGACTCACTCCATTCACTCCCAAGTTTTGGGAAACCAAGACCCAAGGGCAGGCACTTCCATCATGGTGTCCCATTTGACCCCTACAGAGACCTTCACTCTGGACAGCCTGAAAGCTGTGGAGGTCGTCAACTTATCTCTGTCTTGCACTGCCACATGTCTCCCTTTCTCATCTGTGCCCAAGGAAACTCCTGCCAGGGCTGGATTCTCTTCCAAACAGACCCCATTTCCCATCACTCATCAACCTTTGGGTTCTTTTGGAGTCGTTTCAACCCATTCCAGCAAGTTGGAGGAAGAAGTCAGTGAAAGGATGTTTAGGTGAGCTTGCTGATGGTTTACCTATCCCATCACAGTCTTTTAGATTTTTCCACATGTTTCTTACTTTCATGCACACTATTTCAAAATTGAGATATCAGTTATTTTCTGATTTAAATAAAGTTGTGTATTCATATCATACAAGTCAGAAATGTACACTAGTATAAGGAAGTAAAAATTATCAATAAGCCCATCTCTCAAATAAGACTACTGTGTAAGTACTTCGGTACTTGTTTTCTATGTGCATCTATAGCTATATATTCTTTTTATGCAAAAATAGGATAATTCTGTACAAACTCTAAGTTTTTTTTGACTTAATATATTAGAAACATCTATGTTTATAAATGTATTTTTGCCTTATCATTTTGGTGTTTAAACAATATTCCATTTGTATAGATGTACCTTGATTTATTAACAAAATCCTTTAGAAGTGAACATTTATGTTTCTTTTCAGTTTTTGTTATGATAAACAACTCTCTTATTAGTGTCACTGTACCTCTATCTTTGCACACTTTGAGAGGTCAGTTCTTTAAGAGCCTTTGGGTAATAGGACTGCTCCATCAGATTTGCCTCCTAAGCCCCTTTTGCATGGTTCTTAAGTTTATTATTGCTTTTGCAATGCCAGAATCCATCCTTTCACCCTTGTGTTAGGTTTGTATTCATATTTCTCCCTCACCTATTTACTATATAATTTGATTAAGTATATTATAGAATCATTTTATCAAAACATCCCATTTTATTTACACTTTTGCAAAATGCTAAAGAGTTATATGTTAAGATATCCCCAAAAGAAATTGCCCAGGCAAGTAAACTCTGGATGCCTTGTTTTACAAAGAATATTAAAAACTTATTATATTCCATGTCATCAATTTAGCAAATACATAACAGGCATGTCCAATTCCTGGCCAGTGATTTCCTGGCTGTCATTGTACTCAGCATCTATCAGGGAGACAGAGAGACGAGAGAAGAAAATGAGGGCAATTGGGTAAATGGGATGGGTCATGTGTGCACAGCTAATCCAGAAGGACAAGGAGCTAATCAGCTGGGGGAAGTGAGTGTGAATAGAGATGGTGGCCAGGAGAAGCTTTTTAGAGATGACACTTAAGCTCAGGAGAAAATATAAGAGACATGATGATGATGATAATGTTGATGAGGATGATGATGATGATGATGATATGGCCGGTAATATATAACATTTTTTTTCACTATTTAATCTGTTTGTACTGTTCTAAGCATTTTGCATAGATTATATCACTTAATACGCAAAACCATTTTGTGAATTAGATAATGATGTGATTCCCCTTTTTCAGTTGAGGAAACTGAATGCAGAGAGGTTAAGTGGTTGGCCCACAGCTAGTAAGTGTCAAAGCTGAGATACTGACCTTGGTAGTGTGACTCCTGAGTCCATGCTCTTAACCACTGATAATGAGGCAAAGAACACGATAACTAGGTGGGAAAGGCATTTCATACAGGTAGACCCGAAGGCACAGAGACTCGGAAGTAAAGCCAAGCAACATAATTCAAGTAGGGAATTATGAGAAATGTACTCTTTTTGGAGGCTGGTAGATGATGCTGGAGAAATAGATGGAGGCCAAACCATGGTGGCCTTGTAGGCCAGGTTAAGAAGCATCTACTCCAGGGAGGTCTTTTTAAAGATTGCAGGTATCCTTGCACCTGGATAGAATCTTTGAATCCTATTCAATGCAGGGACCACAAGAAATCTGCAGAACCAAAACCAATATAGCCTTTGGTTTTCCCAGGTGTTTTCCTGCCTCCTTGTTCAGAACACGCTTCCCTCACCAGCATCTCCCTTGGGTTCTCACATTCAGCCTTTGCACTCAGCAGATACTTCCTTGTAGATGTTCATCACTCTACATCCCAGCTCCACTCATCTCCTGTTCAACGTGGAATACACAGCTTGGCTTGTGATTAATTGGTGTATTCTCCAGTTTTTATCAGGCCAAAGAAAAGTTTAAAAAAGAACTGAAGATTGATGGATTTCTGTACAGTGACTTATCTGTACTAGCTTCTGATATACCATATTTCCCACCAGAGGAAGAGGAAGAAAATTTGGAAGAAGGGATTCACCTGGTAGTCTGTGTCCATGGCCTGGATGGTGAGTTCTAAAAAGGTTTCCTCCTCAAAATTCTGTACTATAAACAATTAGTAACATTTATGAATTAATTTCAATCAGGTACTCATTCAACAAATGTTCAATTAGCAGTTGTGAAATGACAGTAAGTATGCTGAATCTAGGGAAATGGCATAGACTTGCTCCCAAAGAAAAGACCTATCTGGCACAAAAATCTGTTGACTAAATGAAATACGTAAATGAATGAGTTACTCTAATGAAGGAATGAATGGAATAAATAAGTAGACAAATAAATGGAATGAAGGAAGGATGAAACAGAATAAATAATTAATGGAACTAATAAACAAAAATAAAAGAAAGAATGGAGTGAATGAATGAATGGGATGGATATATTATTGGAATGAGAATATTAATGGAATGCATGAATAAGTAGAATGAATTAAGGGAATGCATGAGTTGATAGAATAAAGAAAGAAATGGAGTGGAATGGATAAGTGGATTCATTTTGAGGAGCTCACATTAGTGGCCCACACTGCTTTGCTGCCTATTTTTATTCACTTCTCACTTATGGAGCACCTTTTGTGTAGCAGACTGTTCCAAGATCTGAGATTGCAGAGATCCGACATAGTTCCTGATTTTTAAAAAGTTCTTAATTTAGTGAGATCAGCAAATACAGAACTGAGAGCTGAATGCTACAAAAGAACTACTTACCAGTGCTGTGGGGATCTAAGGGAGGAGAGAAGGGACAAGGGAAATGACTCTCCTTTGCAAATGACCTAGTCTCCAATGTCAGGTTTCCTTAGGACTTTTCAGGTCAGTCCAAAGGCTCTATAAAATACAGATCTTATTAGCTCTGCCTGAAGTTCTTGAGGTCCCAGTTCAGCCTGGACCAAAAGGCAAGCATTTGGTCCTAGTTCCCTTTATGAATTTCACCCTCTCCCTAACTGGCTGAAGAAAGTGATCAGATGCATTGGAGGTACAAGGCATTTGAGTTCTGCTCCTCAAGCTCAAGTTTAAATCACAATTGATCTGAAAATTGGAATGTAGAATGTCTTCTGGAAAAATCTTGGCATGCACTTTGTATGGACTGTAATGTATAACTAAAGATTAGAGGAGAGAAAGGACTTCTCTAGGGCTTCACAGGGGATGAGTAGCAAAATCTGTGGTCACACTCTTCTTATGATAATTAAATAGGGATAGGTGGTGTGTGAGGCTTTCGTGACACAGTCTTCTTAATATTCTTAATTCTTCTCATTCCAGGGGGTAATACATTTATTTGTCTTTATCAGCTTCCAGCTATATGCCTTGGGTATCAAGACACTCAGTCAACAGATCTATTTGGTGAAGTGTCAAACAATCCAGTGGTAGATAGTACATGCTAGATGGTGCTGATGGTGCTGATGATGGAGACCAGCATTTATGTATCGCTCACCAGGGGCCAGGCACCATTCTAGATGCTTGACATATATTAATGTTGTCGATCCTCACAACAGCCCTGCAGAGTCGGTGCTGTTATTATCCGCATTTATAAGTGAGGAAACTAAGAGAGCAGCTAAGTCACTTGTATAAGGTCCCATGGCTGATGCGATTGAGCCAGGATTAAAACCCAGCCATCAAGCTCCAGGGCCTATGGTTTAATTTTGCGTTATAGAAACAAGTTCATCTCTTCCCCTATCCAAACCTTCATCTACATCACTGTTTGAGTCTCTTCTTAAAATCTTCCCAGATCTGGCCATGCCATGCCTTTACTGGAAACCTGTCTTTGTAGCTCTCAGAAAACAAAATAAAATAAAATAAACTCATACCTTAGAAAGCTTAGAAATCTCCTAGCTTTGAGAGATCTTTATGTTCTGACCCTCTCCGTTATCATCTCCTGATTTTTCCCCCTTTGATCCGATTCGCTCCAGTTCACTCCCATTTCCAGGGACACGGGCCATTCATACCACTGTGTCTTTGCTCATGCTAGGCTTTCTCTCTGGTGATCTGTCCCCTCTCTGCACTGACTTCAGTGCTTCCCAAATTTCAGCTGTTCACACATTCCCTTCCCCATTTTAACTCTATCCATGTACCTTGTACTATAATTTCAAAATTTCTATTGAAATTGGCATGTGCTTTGAATACATTTATTTTAAAAAAGCAACTTCAAATAACTACCACAAATGAAATACTAGACTCACTTGCCACACATGAAGAGTAATATGAAAAATACAATGAAAAGAAAATAATTTTACTGAAGTTTGACCAGTCCTGTTGTCAGAAGACTGAGCTTGAGACTCACTTTCTCTCTTAAAAAGTAATAAGCTATGGGGTCAGCCTGGTGGCGTAGTGGTTAAGTTTGGTGCACTCTGCTTCAGCAGGCCAGGGTTCATGGGTTCGGATCCTGGGCACAGAACTACACCACTCATTGAGCCTCACTGTGGTGGCATCCCACATACAAAATAGAGGAAGACTGGCATGATGTTAGCTCAGGGCCACTCTTCCTCAAGCAAAAAGAGGAGGATTGGCAGCAGATTTTAGCTCAAGGCCAACCTTCCTCACCAAAAAAAAAAAAAAAAAGAAAAGTAGTAAGCTATTGAAGACATACTTGTTTTTAACTGGGACTTCCAATCAGAAGGATTGCAAGAAAGACAAATAACCTTGTCACTCCTCAACTCAATGTATTCCTAACACAGGACCTATGGTCAACTTAGCATCATGTCGTGCATGACTACTGTGCACCTCTTACTTATCTGATATTAAATTACAATGAGACAAGACTCTCAATATCCTTGTTAAAATAAGAAATCTGGTCAGGCCACAGACTTTTATTTTTTTCTATCATGCATGTGGGAGAAGAGGAATGTTATAAATATAGAGCAGCTTTACTAGTATTTGTTCTATGTCAGAAAACTGAGCTGTGGATTACAGTGTTATCATCTGAGCATAAAGTCAGCAAGAAGACAGCTGATAACAAGCACAGGTTTCTTTTAAAGGTTTCTAAACTCTACAGAGTTTTCCAGGATCCATTTGTTGAAAATCCACCTCGGAGGATATACTTAACATTAACGGAGAACTGAACGAATCGATGACAGTTATGAATATTGACACAACTCTTCATGGTGTGCAAAAGCTAAGATTTATATTCTTGTAAATGTTCTCGATTTGACACCTTATCAAATCACATTTTCTGAGAAAGATTTAAGTTGCAGAAAGTTCTCTCTTGCTCAGTAGCTGAAGGAGAAGGGACCGTTGTCATCCCTTACTTAGAATCTTTATGTTAAACATAAACACTTGCAACTTTTTTGTTTTTTAAAGGCTAGGTCCTTGAATGTCATTAGGTAGCTTTAAACAAGAGGAATAACAAGACCAAAGAGCCTATTTTTATTGTAAATGAAAGAAATGAATAAAATTTAATTTAGTAACACAAAATAGAAACATTTCCTAACAGAGTACGAGCATTTTATGACCATGACCCTGCATGTATGGGCATGTGCTCTGACAGGCCACCATCAAGGGTGGTGTTTGGGGGTATCAGGTCATCCTTAAAGATTAGAGATATTCTCTCAACTACCTGTATTTCTTCCAAATTCTACGTGGTGCTTTCCCCATCTTTTGAATCACTTGGTAGTTTCATAAAGTGTGATATAAAATTGGTTGTAAACTATATTACGTAGTTTACAAACTGCTTTTAATCCATGGTTACCTGGTAAAGTGAGTCACCCGTATACCCAAATAAGCAGCTTCTAACTTTCAGCTCCACAGGGATGCATTTCAGGAATAGGTAAAAAATTCATTAAAATACAACTGAACCCCACGGCCTGCAGGAAATCTACACTTAAAAATACTTGAAGATGAATCTTTTTCTGTTACATCAAATCCATTTTCCACATGATTTCTGCTTCAGGAATGCATTCCCTGTGTTCCTGGTGCCTCTGCTATGAACAGCAGCCTCAGACTCTTGAGCTCTCCTTCGCCTGCCCCTGATGGTCACTGTAGAGCAGACGGCACCCATGGAGCTTACACTTTCGTGACTCCTATTCCCAAGGGCCGTTCTTATTCTATTATAGATAACTACACCCTGACTGGCCTGTCTGGGGGACTTGCAGACTACCTGTAAGTGGCAGAACTAGATAATCTTTGTATTAAGCAAGAGACTTGAGAGGGGACTTGTTGATGTCACATGATGCCACATCAGCCATTAAGAGGCACCACCTGCAGAATGTCCTGCGTAAGCAGAATTGGCTGTGAAATAAGGGAGAGGCAGTGTGCCTCCAACTGTTCCTGTGTATAGAATGTTCACAAGCCACATATTTATACAATCCATTGAGGTAGGACTACTAGAAGGGCCCCAACCCTGTGTGGGGGTTGAGGGGGTGTGGAGCACATGACCAGTGGGTTGGACTTGTTTTAGTTGTTTTTATTATCTGCTTAACAAAAAGTGGGAAATAGGGTAATGGAAGAAGAGGAGAAATAAATCCCTCGTGTGTCAGCTTTTATATGATTAACTACGTGTCTGGGGTGGGGTTATCTGTCATTTTAGGGAACAGTGCAGACCTCCGGCTGGTAAAGACTTTCATAGAACTGGGGCTCCCTGGAGGAAAACTGGACTTCCTAATGTCTGAAAAGAATCAGGTATGACAACAAAACCATCAGAACCAAAAGAATCCCTGAATTGTGTCTTATATGAGGCTTCTAAAGTGACCATGACAGTTTATGGACACACAAATAGGAGGGGGCCTTGCAAACAATGCTGGCCAGGAACTTGGATGGTTTGGAGAGAAAACGCTTGTTGTTTTCTTTTGGGAGGGTTAGGAAAGGGTACATCATGTATGTTAGGGACCTTTTGACCTCACAGGGTTTTAGGGTGGGTGATAGCTTGGAACATAAATGATTTGGGTAGCTGTGGGTCTATAGCGGGGGAAGGGAGCTCTCACTGGCGTCTATGTAAAACGGACTGGATTATGATCCCTTTACAGTCAGAGATGAACCATGGGGCCTTTGCCATTTCAAGATAGGTGGAGTCTGGAGCTCTAATGAGGTGTCAAAGTAGCTGAGAATTTAGAGATTCCATGACTAAGAGGTGGGGCTCGGTGGAGCATTGCTGTTGATTCCCACCTAATGGGACTTGAGATGGATGGGTGCTAAGTATTCTTTGTAGGCATAGAACTGCTTATAACTAAAGGGTCTCATGACCATTGAAAATGGGAACTGACAGAGCGTAATCAACAACCAGACACTGGAAGGTCTTCCACTGCCAGTGCCCAGTTCTGTTGCCTTCTCTTTGACACCTCCTACACACAAAGCCACGCTCTATGTAGTGTAAAGAGTAGAAATGGGAGGAAGAGGAGAATCATTTCGAGCATCTCCTATGTGCTGAGCACTCTGTACCTGTTTCTTCATTTAACCTTCACAATCATTCTGTTAAGTGTTGACACCATCATCTCCTTCTCACAGAAGAGGGAACGGAGGATCTGAGAGTTATCCAGGGTTCCATAGTCAGTCTGATCTGGAGAGGAAGATGTCATCCATGCTGCCCAGGGGGATAATACCTGTGCACATCCAGTTTTAATACGTGCCCAATAAGATCCATGTCCTGAGGGACGTGGAGACTCGGGATGCCCATGACATTTGGAGGAGAGAGCAGGGAAGTGATGACCAGCACTTGTTGACTTTGTATTCGTGGCTTGTGCTAGCGAGGTTTTCTTTGCGGGGAACATGGGTATTGTTAGCAAAGGAACTCTGCTCAGGAAACCAGCCTTCTGGTTGTGCGTATCCAGCTGCTCTCTGATGCATTCCCCAGGGCAGCTGGATTTGACTTGGATACCATAGTGACAGAAGAGCTGGGTCTTTACAGACATAACTTAACGGAGAGACTGGTCATCAGAAACAATTATGTTCGACAACATGTTATCGTTACTCCTTGAAAGTTGTAAATCTCATAAGCACGTAAATTTTCAGTGCATTCCTTTAAAGTCACCCCGATTGGGGAGTTCCTGATAACATTTTTTAAACCTACTGTGACTTCCAGAACATTTCTCATCATGGTCAAGTCAGGCCTCATAATTACTACCATTTATTTAATAATTCATGTTAAATTAATAATATACAGATAAGGAAACAGGGTCTGAAAGGCTAGGGGTAATGGACATACCAGCGTCTGTCTTAGGTGTGTTGTAAATATTTTACCTAATCTTTAAACTGATACTAAGGAGTAGGCTACATTATTCTCCTTCAAGACGTAAGAGGAGGCTTAGGTTCAACTTGGAGAAGAGCAGATCCAAGGCATAGATCCCATAAGCAGGAGAGCTGGCCTGCAAACATGGTTCTTTCTTATTCCATGGACACTAAGAAATTGACCAGTGTGCTTTGTCCCTCTAGTCCCTCAAGGTTCATTGAATGACAGGTGACAGTGAGCCCTAAAGACCATCTCTTCACTCCTCCTTCTTCCCCACCCTGACGAATGTCATGAAACCTCTTGCTCACCTTTGCAGCTTGGAGCTCAGCGCAGCTCCAGGTAACCCATGATATTGTAGGACAACTCCACCTATGCTAAACTATTTCTTTCTTCTGTTGACTCCAAATCTCCCTCCCTGTGGTTCCCATCTATGTCTCCAAAAGTTGGTCCTTGAAGTTATGTATATCAGTCTAGTATGTCTTCCTCTTGTCTGCTCTTTCAGATATTCAAAGACACATGTGCATTTGTGTTCTTCCTTTTATGCTCTCATGTTCTCTGACTTTCCTTCCTAAGACGCAGATGGCTTTGGGATCCTTCTCAAAGCTGACCTCTGCCCTTGAGAGTTGGCCTGGTAACAGTCTAAAGGTTGTGCTGGGGAAAGAGCAGGGGCTTTGGAGTCAGGCAGGCTTGAGTATGAATCTTGGCTCTTGAACTGCCTCATGTCTCAGGCTGTTTCCTCCTCTATGAGGTGGGGACAGCAATACCAGTGGACACGTGAGACACCTGGCACGAGATGTGGCAGTAGGCACTGCATCCATGCTACTCTTCTCCCCCTCTTCCATTTCTCCCCTTAGCTTTCAGTCATCCTCCTAAAAGGATTCTTCAGCATCCTCAAGTTTCTTCATTAGAGCCCCAGTCTGTGGGCCATTTTTCCTGATTTTGAATCCTAATCTGTACCCTAACCTAAGGCTTAGGCTCACTCCCAGAATGCACCATGATGTTTAATGGAAGGTGGGCTTGTGCACAGAGCCGGGCCTTGCTCTGACTCCAGTCAACACCTGTTTCCTCTCTCTTCTTCCAGATGGACACATTTGCAGACTTTGACACCATGACGGATCGGTTATTGGATGAAATCATTCAGCACATACAGTTGTACAACCTCTCCATATCCCGAATTAGGTAAAAGGAAACCACAGGTAGTTAATGCTGGGGGAAGAGGGGTGACATTTTTGAGTGTTCACTGTATACAAGTTCAGCATGATACCTTCTGTAAACCACTGGGATAAGTTAACTTGTGATTTTTAGTGGAGTAGATTACTTTCAGAGAAGAAATGAGACTGGGGCTGCTTGACACACCCGTATCGTCATAGTATGTGTGTGGGAGAATAAATATTTTGTAGCTCGGTAGAAAGAGAATTGGACTTAAACAAATATTTCTAGGTTTGAGTTCTTGTTCTTCTAACACTCACAAATTTGAATCCTGACTCTACCATGTAAACTATTGGAAGCTTTCTAAATCTCTGAGCTGTTTCCCCATTTATTAAGTGGAACCAGCACTGAGATGATGTGTTAAATAGCTGAATGGATTTCCTACCAAATAAGAGGGTTTTAATCAGTGCTAATTGTGTCCTTCCACAGTAACAAATAACTTGGTTTAAATGACTAAGGTGATGGTACATAACTTGCATTATTTGTGCAGTATGTGGACATGGTGATGAGCCCTCGACACGCATTATCCCGTTTAGGCCTCAAAGATAAAATACCGCCTCTTTATTTCACAGATGAGGATTCAGAGGCCTACAGAGGTTAGGTAAAAATAAGAGGACACAAATGAGAAGTGGTAGGGAGGTATGCCTCTCATATAATAGGGTTTCAGCAAATAATTATTTAATTTGAAACTAATGATGTGTTGGATCCATAGATCTGTGGGTAGCAGTACTTCTGGAGTGGAGCATCTGGGAGGGGAGCATGTAGTGTGGGCTGAGAGCAGGCAACTCACTGAATTTGTAAGGATGCATGAGTAAATGAATAAAGCTGGAGAGATAGTCAGAAATCCAGTCATGAACGGCCTCATAAGCTGGAATAAGAAGTTGGGATTTTATCCTGTGAATGACCAGGACAGTTCAATGCTCAAATGTGTATTATCTGAAAGGACCCCAGAGGGACTGAGAAGAACCATGGAGACCAGACCAAAGTGGGGCTGCTCTAAGAATCCAATGCAGGGAGGGATGCCCACTCTTCTCTTCTGACCACACTGGGCACAGAAGCTTTCATTCACAAAGACCCCATCTCAGGCTTAACATGGCCAGAGTTTGGAAACCTGATGGGGATGGATTAGCGGCCCCCATTCTCTGCCAGTTCCCCTAAATCCAGTGGGAGGTGGAGGGCGGCTGAGCCCCTGGTGTTCCCAGTGCAGCACTCTCCTGGCAGCTGGCCTCCTGTTATCACACTCAAGTGCACCATCTCTGTCTCTAAACAGCTTCATAGGCCATTCTCTTGGCAACATCATCATCCGATCGGTCCTGACGCGGCCCCGGTTCCGGTATTACCTCAACAAACTCCACACATTCCTGTCGTTGTCTGGGCCTCACCTAGGGACCCTGTACAACAACAGCACCCTGGTTAGTACAGGTAAGACTTTTCCAAGCCTCATCATCCCTCAAGATTCATTCAGGCAGAGGGGAGATGAAACCAGAGGCAGACGTTTTTCTTGATGGAATCCTGTGACTTTGGAGCCTCTTCAAAACATGGGATGGCAGAAAGAGACCTGTCCGTATGTTTGTGAGCTGAGTAAGGTTAGACTAGATGTTTCCCAAGGTCTCTTCTTCTTCTGCTTTCTGTGAAGAGAAAGGTCATGTCCCTGGGGCTCTGGCTGGAAAAGATTGAGGAGGCATAATGGTGTGGAGGAGAGAGCATGGGTGTCTCAGTCCATTTGGGCTGCTAATAGATTACCATAGGCTGGGTGGTTTATAAGCAATGGAAGTTTATTTCTCACAGTTCTGGAGGCTGAAGTCCAGGATCAAGGCACCAGCAGATTCACTGTCTGGCAAGGCCCCACTTCCTAGTTCATAGACGCCGTCTTCACTCTGTGTCCTCTCCTGGCAGAAGGGGTGAGGGGGCTCTCTGGTGTCTCTTTTATAAGGGCACTAATCCCATTCATAAGAGCTCCACTCTCATGACCTAATCACCTCCCAAAGGCCCCACTTTTATGTCTATAAACATGTATGTGATATATATGTATGTGTATATACATGTGTGTGTGTGTGTGTGCATGTGCATGTATGTGTGCGTATATCATAGAATTGTTGAGAGTTAAACAAGAGAAGGAAAAATGAAGTTAACTAACATGTATGGAAGGTCAACTATAGATGAGTTCAATACTTCTTGCTGGAAGGTGACGACAAGGCCCTGAGCTTTGAGGCTCTCACAGTTTCCTCTATGTTATAAGGGAGGGACATCATGGAGAGTAAAGAAATTAGTTCGTTGAATCTTGGAAGCTGAGCAGAATTTCCAAGACAGTGAGTGGTGGCTGAGTCTTCTGTGCAGAAGAAATAGTATACATAATAACATAGAGCATGGTGTAATCAGCAAACAGCAAGTGGTTCTTTGTGACAGAAATCCAGGATGACCTGGAGGGATAGAAGGTGACAATGAAGCTCTCAGAAAAAGCCTGCTGCTGCAGGGCCTCGCGTGATGTGTTGGGGTGTTGGACTAACCTTGTAGACCATATGGATGCTACTGCTAATGGAGTGGTAACTGTGGAAGTGACGTGATTTGGTGTATGGCAGCTCAAATAGGTCACTAGGTCTTATAGAATAATAAATAGTTTATTAAGTCATATTCCTAACAAAGACTTCAGTAGCACCCAGTTGCCCCAATCCATTACTTGGCATCTGGGGTCACCTGTAAGAAGCTCTACCGTCCCTGCCCGTCTTCCAGTCCTCTGCCACGGCTCCCCTACACCTGCCCTACACTCAGGGCAGACTGAGCTGCGTGCTTTTCATATCAGGTGGGTCAGATGTGTTTGTTCCTTTACATTGTTTTAAGGACATTGTTTGTGATTTGTGGGTTATTCGACACATTGATACATAACACATGGAAGTCCTTTCCCCTGCCACTCACTCTGTCTTTCCTCAAAACCAGGGAAGCCATCTTTCAATGGAAACACATGACTTAAACCACATTTAATTTTTTTTCCACAGTGGTAATCTTGCTACCTTACAAAACGTTTAAAAAAAAGATATTACCAATAATTCTTCCAATCTAGCATATCTAATTTTGTATAGTTCATTCTACTTATCTTTGCACACCATTTACATGGCAGTAATCATAATATATAGACACACTGTCTTGTTTATTTCCTTGCATTTTTATCAAATTCATTTTTTGTGTGTACTTGGGACATAATACTCATACTCATCGGTGTTAGTGTCAGCATAACCATAGGTAAATGGATGGACTCTGAAATGCAAGGTGGATTTTAGTTTTCCCATATCTTAAATGGATCTTTAAGGAGCATTCTTATATAGAGTTTTGTATTTATGATTGTTTCCTTAGGCTTGATTTACAGAAGGGGATTGAATAGATTGAAGGGTGTGGATAGTTTCATGACTCCTGAAGCCTGTCACCATATCATTTTGCAGGTTGATTTTATGTCCCTGCCACCAGTACATAACAATTCAAAAGTCTCTCTAACTTCCCAAGTATTTGCTAAAATGTCTACTGCTCTCTTATTTTTAAGTTAACCCAAGTCACAGTTTAATGTTAATCTCTCCCCAGTTCTTTCTTGGTTTCTTTTGTTTTATGTGCTTGATTTGTTTTATTTTGCTTTTGTCGTTCTAGGCTTGTGGCTCATGCAGAAGTTGAAGAAATCCGGGTCCCTTTTACAGTTGACCTTCAGGGATAACGCTGATCTGCGCAAATGTTTCCTCTATCAACTAAGCCAAAAAACAGGTGAGTGGCTTCCTCTGCAGCACCTAGCTGTGGTCGTGAGTGTGAGCCAGAGATGCAGCCCCTGAGACCCAGATTAGTTTCAACGCTATGTTGATTCACTCACAGAAGGGTACACTCAGGAGGTACAGCACGCACAGCTTCTTCAACTCGTTGGTGTGCCCACTGCTACCCAAGAGCTCAGCTGCTCCTGGCCCGTCTCCCCACGGTGTGTGAATGATTCACAGATGAGAGCCATTGTGTGTGTAGGAGGTCATCTCGACACACAGAGACTGTAGCCTCGACTTCCTACCAGTATTTTAATGTCCTAATTGCAGGGTCCCAAGGTCTGTGTGCCAACTCACAGTTCCTTCACCCGGGTTCAGATCCACCTACAAAAAGGGCAGATAAACCCTGTCCATTTACGCTGCCAGTGCAGAGGGAGACAGGGGTTCTTCTCAGGCAGATATTACACCTTCACCCACACCCCATAATGAGGAAGTGCACAGAGGTGTTGAAGACCCTGCCTGTCGTGGGAATGAACAGAGGACAACAGTGGTCTCCATGTCCAGCAAGGAAGCAGAGAGGCCAACTGATTGGCCTGCTCGGTCCTGCTGAACAAGCCAGCCTGGCCCAGGATGTGTCCCATGGTCCACAGTCTTCCATCAATTATAAACACTGACTCCGTTGATATCTCTGCATCTCTCCGAATGTGAGTCCGGCATGGCCACAGGCTGATGTATAATGTCGGGCGAATTCCTTTCCCACCTTGTGTCTCTGTGTGTTAAGTTGAGCTCTCAGGGTTCTCCCCCATGGCGAAGTGAGGGAAGCAGGATTGGGCAGAGGGGGATGTTGGACTTTCAATATGGTCACCACAGAGATCTCAGCAAGCTCCCCATGGGGAACGTGGCCCTACAGAGTTATCCTGAAGTAGGGCAAGGGGCCAGTCTTTATACCCTTTACCCTGTATCTGTTGGTTGTTGAGGCAGGCTGGCTCCCAGTGTGTGGTCTTGGGATGTGCTCTTGGATCAGAAGACTCATTTCAGTGGGGCTTCCCTTAAAGGGACCCCGGGCTGAGACAGTCCACATGGAAGACCTAGGTGGCACACTGCAATGCCTGGAGATCCATGGTGGGCTGGAGGACTGAAGAAATATGCCGTGATGTTTAATTTGGAAGATCCCTGTGTCTCAGTGTGGGAAGGTAATTGCAGCAAGGCAAGAACTGCATGCAGGGAGGTGAGTTCAGAGGCTGATTTCCTGAAGCAGGTGGCATGATGAGGATTGGAATTAAGAGAGCTGTCAGGGTGGAGAAGGATGACAAAATACTAGATTTAACTCCTATGGACTCCTTAGGATACCTGGCCCAGAAAGGCTTTTTCATCCTTAGGCGTTGCTTATCTCTCACTGTTCAGAGTAGCTTGTGAAGTATCTCACAAATTCCATGGCTGATGAGAACGAAGCCTTCATCTTCCATCTAAGGTAGAAAAGCTCCAGGGTAGCAAATTCTTTTCTCAACCTCTCAGACCAGAAGGTCCTTATACAATGACACAACCAGTGTGTCTAGTATCTTCTCACTTTGCCTCTCACTGGGACAAGTTTGTAAAATGTGTGCAAACCAGAGGCTGTGAGTTGAAACTACCTGGGTAACAAGCACCCACCTGGCTTGTTGCAGGTCTGCAGTATTTTAAAAATGTTGTGCTGGTTGCTTCTCCCCAAGACCGCTATGTGCCATTTCATTCAGCGAGGATCGAAATGTGTAAAACTGCCCTCAAAGACAGACACACAGGTAAGCCTTATTTAATTTTTTTTTTTAAATTTAAAAGCAGAAGTAAATTCATGAAATTGGCTATGCCTGTTAAGGGACATCAGATGTTCTGCCCAGGAAGAGGCAGAACACACACATACAGTGTTTTTCTCTGGATTCCGCTGCTAAGTTCTGCACTGGCTTCATATACTTCTTCTCTTCTTGCAGGGCCCGTTTATGCGGAAATGATCAACAACCTTCTCCGCCCACTGGTTGAAGCCAAGGACTGCACTTTAATCCGACACAATGTGTTCCATGCCTTGCCCAACACTGCCAACACCCTAATTGGCCGAGCAGCTCACATTGCTGTGCTGGACTCAGAACTCTTCCTGGAGAAGTTCTTCTTGGTGGCGGGACTCAACTACTTCAAGTAGTGGCTTTGAGGGAGCGGGCCTTGGGGAGCTCGCCACAAACGTTTAAGATCGATGAGAGCTTTAGCTGAGACATCCTTTTATAGACCTCTGCCATTCTAAGTGGAGCTTAGAGGGGAAGGCGTGGAGGGATGGAGAGTCGGGAGGGACTGGACAGTCGAGGTGCTTTCATTTTGGAGATTTGGGAAAGCTGAACCAATAGTGTAAAAGACAACAGACTTTGCTTGAACCTGTCTAGTCACCTGGAGTCTCATTCAAGATGCTTTCTAGGCAAAATATGAGAAAATAAAGAAACAGAATACTTGGAGTTGGTGAGCCCACCTTTTTAACCACCACTGGCTCACAGAGAAATCACTCCAATTTAACTAGATTTGTTCAGTATGTTACTAGCACATAGCTTTATCATTTTTGATTAAATTAAGTGCACACAAGCATTTCAGAACTCAGGTTAACCTCTGTGTGGAAGTGGAACATGTTTGTGTAAATATAATCCTTATATAGTCAAATGTGCCACTGGTTCAAGACAATGTGATGCTCATACTCTCATTCTCTCCTCATCTTTTCTCAACAAGGGGCAAAGGAATGCTTTATAAACTCTAGTTTTATTTCATAACAGCAGTGGGTGGGGTGACTTAAGGTATGGGAGGATAAAGGTGATGCTATTGGTAAGTGCAAGTTTGTTACAAAGGAAAATAACTATGGGGAACGTGGTGAACTAGTTGATCCACCTACTTCTCCAGACTTTTTCTATGCACAGCCCTGGTCCACAAACGATTTTTTTTGATTGCTTAAATCTCTGTCTGTAGTAGGGAAAATTGACTTAGACTAAACCTAGCAGAAGGGGGCACTGAGATTAATGCACACATGTGTGAAGCTCCTGCTGATATCCTTCCAAAGAAATGCTATGTTAGCATTTGTTGCAATTGCAAAAAATTAAAACCCTTAACGTGGCCAGCTGCTTCTCCTCTCTGTGGAAGGAGAAAGACATCTAAGTGGAGGAGTGGAAGAATGCTGGATTAAAAACCTCAGGGGAGCTCTAAGAAGGGTGCTGGTTAACTTCCAATAGAAATGTCTTCTTGCCTTAGGAAACTAAAGGGCTAGGGAAGGTCACCACTGATAAAAACCACTAGACAACAGGACAAGAGTGAGATCAGAGAGGAGAACAACATGCAGATCAAGGACCCAACTTAAATTGTTCTTGGTAAGTGACTTCAGGGGAAGTGTTGAGAATTACCATGATGTTTAATATGGTCCCAAAGGCTGCGCATACTCCATGGGCTAAAGGAAGCCTAGAGATTCTTTTGGTTCTACTGAAGGGCTACATGAACCAGGACAATAGGGATGACTAACACGGGAGACCCGTCTTCTGGAGGCGGAAGCTTCTGCTTCTGCAAAAAGTCTCTTCTGAAGTGGAGATTACTAGTTTTAGCACCTGAACCATAACCTTAGGTCATCAGTGTCATGGTAATAAGCCAAGTAATTCTAGACTCATCTGAGAATTTCAGTTTCTCACATATTAACAATGTGACTTTGCAAAACAAATATAGACCATGGAAAATAAATCCAGGTAGGCAACTTTGCAGAAGAGAAGACTTGTGGATTTCTTAAGAAAACAAAAAAAGAGAGGAGGGAGTCGAGTGTTCTGCAAAGGCAGACTTCCACACAACAGATTTAGGGTTTCTCTGTGGAGTCTTCTCTAAGCTTTCATTGTATCCTAGTCTTAACCCATATGGGATCAGTAAATCCTCTGGGTATTTTTCCAAGTTCCTGATGGGCATAGACTCATTAACAGCACCAATCTGCTATATAACCCAGGAGGAATTTGGTGCCTGGTTCTGCAGCCGTGATGTTGTATTTCCTCGCCTAGACAAGTGCCCAGGCTCAGTGCAGGACCATACGTTTGTAGCAACTTCTCCTTTTTGGCCCAATGAGGAGCCCTGCCCCTCTGAGGAGAGCATTTCATCTTGTGTTTCCAATTTCCATCAGCCAAGTTCGTCCTTCCCTGGTCATTTGAAAGACCATGTAGCCAGCGGTTTTGGAACCAGGGTGAATCTGGTGATCATCGTCTTTTCCAATACCAGATGCCATTTTTAACTTCAACATGCTGTCTGGACATAGTAAGAACTAATGGCAATAAACGTCCAGCTGCCTGGTGCACCTCTTTTTTTATAGGGGTGCTCTGCTGTCTTTGTAAACCCTCTCTGGCCCCTGAGCATCTATTATAATTGTGTAGAAAGTACATCTCTATATTGTAAATAAGAGCGTCAAGTAATGTGTGTCACGCCTCATTTGAAAAGGCTTTTTTATGTCTCTTTCTATTGAAGTATAGATATCTAATATATGTATACACAAAAATATATATATAATATAAAACAGGGACAGTCTATTATTGATTATAAAAATTATAAACAAAATGCCTGCCAAGAAAATTGCCTAGTATGTCTTCATTCTCCGCATAATTTTTGTTTTTTGTTTTTATGATTTTTAAGTTTCTCAGAACTAGTTAGAAATAAAAATTACTAATATTGAGATTAATTGGAATTTGTTATTCACAAGCCAAATCCAAACACAGATGCAGATGTGAACCTGAAGTCACCTTGGGGACAAAATCAGTACCTCAGTGTCAGGTAGACAGTAGCTGAAGTTCAATGAACCTGCGAGAAGATGTAGAGAGGATGGTCTCCTGTTAGTTTCTACAGTCCACGGATATTTACTGAGCAACTTCCATCTGTTCCAGGTGGGAGCACAGAGAGAAGATGCACATTCCCTGCCCTCAAAGAACACAAGGAAGATCCAAACTTGTTATTGCAATGTGATATAATGAGGGCTTTGATGAGGTATGGGCAGGTGCAAGCTGGTCCTAGAGGTCCAGTCCTCATTGCCTGGAGAAAGCTGAGAAGGGAGCCCTGAAAGTGAGACTCGACAAATAAGATATTTGCCTGGCACAGCCTGTCACCACCAAGTGCACTCATTTATCAATTCATTGATTCATTCTTTCATTCATTCATTCAACAGATATGTTCTCAGGGCCTACTGTATGCCAGGGATGTATTGGTAACGTTCAATAACTCACAGTCTAGCAAGGAACACAGCCAATCAAATGGTCAGTTAAAATAGGTAGACGCCACGGAAGTGGTAGGGATCTGACGGGTGCTCACAGGAAGGACATCCAACCTACACTGGAGATGTGGGACAGTGCGTGGTCAGGAAAGGAACCCTCAGACAGAGAACAGAATGAGTAAAAGGCTCAAGGTGATAGAGAGAGCCAGGAAGCTTTGGGACATTGGACAGGCAGATAGAGGATATGTCTGGATACAAGAGTAACAAAAAGGAGGTGTGAGAAGTTAGCCACCATGTGGGATTTTCTTCTAATTACAGGAGGAAATTTCCATCATTAACACAAGCAGGAAAATTTCCACTCAGAAATGAGGGTCCTTTGGGCGACCAAGGCCCACCTCTGTCATCACATCCCTCTCCAGAGTTGGCTCATAGGACGGGCCTGATCCTCCCATCTTGTGAGAAGTCCAGGGCCAAATATCTTCACCACCACTCAATCCTGAAATCTCCCTCTGAGGAGCCTAGTAGATGTGTCTGCTGGACTTCTCATGGAGAAAAGCTGGAGCAAATGGCATCACATGACCTGGCCAAGTAGAGGGACCAGCGATTTGGTTTAAATTATTGTTATTATTATTATTTTCTTCTTTTTTTCATTTTATTTTTTATGCGGGGAAGCAGTGAAGTGAAATTTCTGTATTGGTATTTGGAGAGACCACACCACCTGCTCTCAGATCATATGATTTTATGCAGGAAAGAAACGTATTTAATCCCCAGTTTACAGTGGAGCAATCTGCAGCCCCATGAGGTTGAGGTAAGTTGCTCCAAACTGCAGTCCTTCATTCATGATATTTCCCAACAGCCTGCCATCAACCAGGTATTGTTGGTCGTAAAGCAAAAACAAACACACAAAAACCAAACACCCCATCCAGAGGGGGCACACACACAAAGGGAGGGTGGTGAACAGAAATAAGAAGCATGGCAAGTGTGGCCAAGACTGGGTTCAGAGGAGCCACTGGGGGTGGACCACCAGCAGCACATGAATGGGACAGAACAAAGTAGAAATAGTAGCGTATGACCCCGCTTATTCTGTAAGGACTAAAAACATTTAAAAGTGTTAGGACATGATGGAGTATTCAGTTAGCCCTCACTTGTGTGAGATGATGGCATTTCTCCAAGATGTGGCTATTGGAATGAAAGTCTAATTTTAGGTATTTACAAGCCCCCAAATATACTTGCCACTTTTTATTTGTCACGCTGGTTTATTTTGATTTCACAGAGTATACTTCTGAGCATTGACAATAACCAGGGCTTCTGTGTGCAGTGGCACAGTTTGTGTAAAAGAGGATGACAATGAACACATAGTAAAAGAGCCATGCTTTCTTACATAATTCTTGCATGGTATCCATTTCAATGTCCTTAGGAAGGATAGATGTCATTCTTTGATAGTGCCAAGCATCGTATGCTAACATCTAGATCAGGTTTTTTGTTTGTTTGTTTCCTAATTTTTCATTCATTTCTCTTTCCATATGTTATTGAGTATCTAATTTGTGCTGGATACTATACTAGACTATAGAGATATTAACATAAATCATATAATCCTAAATATCAAAAGGATCTGGAAGGATAACAAAACAGCGTTTTATTTTTAACTGTTAGTTTTTAAATTAAAATCATGGGATTTCAGAATTGGAAGAGGAACAATTGATGTTTAATCCAGATTCTATCCAATGTTTAGCATTCTGAGCTACGCTCCTCCAACATCCACTGACAAGACAGGTCTCCATCCACTTGTGACAAAGCAAGAGTGCACCGTGGTGACATTACAGACAACAATACATGCATGCTTTTTTCATTTAGATAAAGAGCTGCCCTCATGAAGATTTTTCAAAACTTTTACATCTTTCTGTATCCCTTTTTCCTTGCCATTTCTTTTTTTTAACTTTTTCTTTACTTTCTTTACATGGTACCTCAACATTATACATAATGCTAGAGATGTCTCAATAGAAAGCCCTATCAGAAATCTAGAAAAGAAAAGCTGAACTCTTCCCACTCTCTTCATGTTGAATGGTAATAATGCATTTTACTTTTCAGTGGGCTAAACTCTGCAAACCAATTTTAACTTTAGGGAAAGAGCCCCAATGCCTTCTGTCACACAAAGGAATGTCCTTAATATATGTAACTGGACTTCAAGACCAAATGTTAACGTATGGATGCTGCTGGGTCATGCTTTGTTAATCTCTAAAACAAGTTATTTCCCTATATTTTATCTTTTCAT